TTCCTCATTTATATCACTAAGTTCCTCTTTATTACTTTAGCCACACCAATCCTCTTCTTGAGATATAATTCTCTCTTAACCTTTGCATTAAACACCTTAAATGCATTATTTTCAACCATTCAATTAAAACTTTCTAACATGCAATCTCTTGTCCAACAATTAATGTCAACCACACAATTCCCAAAAATTCGAAGAGTCTACAAATAGCTTCATAAGCCAATTTCTACATAATTTCAAGCTTAAGCCACAAAATACTAGCATCAAGTTGGGTTATCTCTCCCAAGAGATTTAATGAAATTCTGAGAAATTCAAAGTCAAGTAACTCTCTCTAACAAACACTTCATCAAACATTTTATAGACACTAATTTTTGCACCATAAGTTTAGATTCTTCTATCTAAATTTCATTCCAATCATTTCTTCAACATCAATCTATTCAAAATAAAAAATCATTTTAACTCGAAAGCTTAGACCCATGCATATCATCATTATGCTTTTAATGCAAAAATTTCAGCTTAATTAGATTTCCCTCTCCCTATACAGTCATGACAGCAACAGCAAACACCAAAGAAAAATTACAATTTCAACTAATAAATCACACACTCACACGCGCAGGATTATCCGAAAGAAGAGCTCAATGTTTCTCACCTCATCATACACGACACAGCAGGGAAGAAAGAGATCTTCACGAGTTGTACAGGGGGAGGGAGCCCAACGTGCTACATCATAGCACTGTCGAAAATGAGAGATCTTGATTCTTCTATGGTTATCGGTGGCAATGAGAGGAAGGCTGGAACACTTACACATTTACACAGATGATGGAGAAGAAGAAGAATATGCGGAACAAGGGAGGATTAGACAAAGCAGACTAGTGCAACACGCAGTGGAGATTCCGGCATTCACGCGGTCGCCGGTGACAAGATGAGCGACGACAGTGATGAGGGCTGAGGATGGTGATAGCTGGAGCAGGGATTCAAAGCTTCTGGCTCTCTCAACACCGACTCTGTTCTGTTCTCTCTGACCACCGGCTCTGTTGCGTGCGTGTGTGCTCAAAAGAGGGGCAAGGCCGAAAGAAAAATATTGTCTGATGGGGGCAGAATTATAATTTCAAAGGTTTAAGGAAAAGCCAATGGCCTTGTAGCCTAGTGGCATGAAAACTTTCCTGTAAGTGGAAGGTGTGAGTTCAATTTTGTTTGTAACTTCAAGTCATTAGTACTTGCCTCTTTAATTAAAATAAAAAAAGGTTTGAGGAAAAAAAAATAAAACTCTCCCACAAACATCAAGGGGTTTCAAACTCAATACCTAATGGTTACATGGCTGACACTATATCCACTAGATTCCATACCTTCTCGTTAAATATGTTCCAAAATTAATAAAAATATCCTCAACATGACTTTCCCAAATTTTATTTTATTTCAGTATTTATTAATATTATTTACTATTATTTATTCATATAATATTATTATTTATTCACTGTTTTAAACAAAATTTTCTAGGCTATTACAAATAAGGTAGCTAGATATTCATCCATGATAATTGAACACACACAAGATGAGATAGAATCTAAAGTAAAGTTCGAAACACTAGTACTGAATCTCTCCATTCCAAACCACCTATCTAAAGGGCTTCAAAGATTTTTATAGATCAGATCATAAAGGAAATATCTACAATATAGAAATAATGGTTTTTCAAAGTCAGGTTATTCAACCTGGATGTTGCAGACAGACACAAGGCTCCTTTTATAATTGAAACCATAACACCAGCTTTCACGACCTGCAGAAAAGTTGTGGAACTCTTTCCATTTCCTAGTAGTGAGATTGAACAACTTAAGAAAGTACCTTGGTTGACCCTCCACCTTACGTTCATCAAAGCACACTATTTCATTTCTCCAAATACTTAATGGCTTCAAAGCAAATGAAAATGATATAATGGTATCTTCTTCTGTACAGTACAAACTCTTCCCAGATTCACTAGCAACCTCCTCCAACACACACATATCGATTAAACAAGACGAACGACGATTCCAAAATATAACGAATTTGTTGTCGTACACACCAAGACAAATTCGATAATATAAATGATGACGTGCAAATGGTATTGGTGTAAATGTAAACACTTCCGTCACTATGGTGAAAGAAACTACCACAGGACAATGATCTTGTCTTCCTAACCAAACTATAGTTCCATCAGCACTGCCACTGATAGTTTGGAAATATAATTTCTGTATTCTGTGAAGCTCCAGATTCTAGCTCCTTCCATGAACTTGTGTTTAATGAAAATACTTCCACTTTAATATCATATCCCCAGATGGCGTCTTCCTTTTTTATGCGCCCCTGTTTATGACAAAATCTCACTATCTTGTAATCACTAAGGACGCTACTGTACCCAAATCCAAACTGGCACTTGTCCCAATAGTCATTCGTTGTTTGGGGTACTTCTCTGACCTCTCTAATCTCCGGGTTCCACAGCCAAAGCGAACAAGGAGACCTACTGCTAGCAGGATCAACTACGACACAAAGCAAGCCATTGCAGGAGCCAATGATTTCCCAGTAGACATGTCCGAAGGGATCAATCGAGGGCGGCAAGCTCAAAACTTCAACTGTTTTCATCTCATGATTGAGCAAACGTAAGGACAAACGCCTTTGTTGAAGATTGTGTTCATGGAGGAGGAGAAAAGGATTCTCATGATGAGAGTGGTGGATATGGTCGGCGATGAAAGATGGGGTTTTGAAGAGATTTTTCCAATCTTTACACACACATCGAAATCGAACAATGGATTTGGCAGGAAGCCTTTTGAGAACGTTGATGATAATCTCGATTGGCAGAAAGTTCTTGTCACCTTCACTCGCCTTCATCTGCTTGCAAGAGGGAATTAGGGTTCGGAATTCAAGGGGTGGCGGCAGGTGGAGTGAAACGAGCCAAGGGGGCGATTGCGTTTTGTAATCTGGGAGAGGCAACGCAGCAGAGAAAGAAAATGATTTTGTGTTTTTATCAAAATGTGTGTGAGCGTGTGGGTTTCTATGTACGAGAATGGTGAAATTAAAAATTACAAAATTGTTTGATGTGCTTTGAATATTCATTTTTGGAATGCATGAAAAGACATAGGAGGGATAACATTATGTTTGGAATGCATGAAAGGGTGAGAATTAAGATGTTGTTCCGGTTCTTTGAAAAGTTTTTGCTGCTTTTATTTTAAAAAAAAATGGAATCCTCTTCCCCCACATTTTAAATAATAATAAAAAAATGCTTTTGATGATAATCTCGAGTGCTTTGAATATTAATTTCTCAGTTGAGCACTACAATACAAATTAAACTTTTTACCCAAATCAATTTTACCCCACCATTTAATCTCATTTCATCTTGAGATTTCTACATCGTCATTCTGGGGTTGTGAATCACCAAGAATAAAACATCCAAATTAATAAAACAATGCAAGAAAAAAAGGCAAGACAGGATGCTAGTGGAATGCAACAACTAGACTGACGAAATTTGAAAGAGAGAGAAAGAGAAAATAAAAAATGGGTCAGACCAGTCCTTTTTTTTTTTTTTTAATTTTCCAGCCAAAATCACCAATTGGCAAGCTAAACGAGCTAATGCTCAACTTATTTTCCCAGTTTTAATCAAGATACAACCAAACTATTAAATGCTATTGTTGATATATATTTCCACAAGAAGTGCTCAGACAAAGTGAAAATCTGCGATGTGAAAAATGAGGATTTCATAGGAATTAAGTCCATTAAACGTGTGTGTTACAGACAGATACAAGGCTCTCTGTATAAATGAAAGCATGCTCATAATCATGTGGAAACATAGAATTAAGATTGAATAGAGAAAATAGAAACTCATGCTTCACTTCACTTCCACTTTCATTTCTACTTTCACTTTTATGATTGAGTTCAGCAAAAGAATGCCGTCTTAAAATTGGAGGAACACCATATTTCAATTGCCCATAATCATGGCAGACTATTTCATTCGATTGAATTAACCACTTTGAAATTGGACTGATACTACATTTCTTAGTCCAAGTACCCCACCAACTATTCCCAGACGGACCGCTACTTTCTTGATCCATCACCCATAAATCAATGAAAGGAGAACCCATGTTTGACCTCATATTAGGAGTATGAAACAAGGCAAGTTTGTTCTCATACACTGTAAGCTTTAGCTCTAAACAACTTATAGATGATGGCAATGGTATTGACATTAATGAAAACTCTTCCATCGCAATGTCAAACGAAAGTACAAGGTAACCATGTCCAATGTTCCCCCACCCTAACCAGAACACAGTCCCATTAACAATTACAATTGGTTGAATCATATGACCAACTCTTGCTATAACATAAATATCTAGTTCCTCCCATGACCTTTTGGTTAATGAATTTACTTTAGCATCTTGCTCAATCATCCCAATTGTCACTATCTTGTAATCATTAACTACGGGACTGAACCAAATCCAAAGAAGCGAATTTCCCAATAATTATGCATTGATTTGACTTGTCGTACCTCTCTAGTTGCTGGGCTCCATAGCAGAAAAAGAAGATGAAAAGATTCATCATCATAGTGATCAAAAGCCAGGCAAAGCAAGCCATTGCAGGAACCAACAAATTTGACATCACCCCTTGAGGAATATCAAACACAGGTGTCTTGTTCCAGGTGTCTTGTGAACATCAATGATTTCTATCTTGGAATCAAGTAGGAGTACATGTGGACATTTGGGTTTGTTCCAGGAATCAACAAGGAGAAGAGAAGGATTATTTTGAGCTGAGTGGTGGAGGTGGTTTGTGATGAAATCTGGGGTTTGGATAAGATTTTTTCAAAGTTTGCAAACAGATTGGAATCAAATGAGGAATTTTACAGGAAGCCTTTTGAGAATCTCTATGATGATATCTTGGGATAAGATATCCTTGTCATCATCTTTCATTTCCATTTTGTTGCTTGAGTGAAGAAGAAATTACTTCTGTTTGGTATATGTTGAGACGGTGGGAAAGGGGTAAAAGAGTTACCTTTTATAAAGATGAAAGGTGAGAGATGAAATCATGTTTAGGAATGCACATAGGGGTGAGAGAAAAACTAAAAGGTTGTTTAATCATCTTAAATTTTTCCTTTTTACATAACCATCTAATTAAGTTATATTCAAGTATTATCAAATTCAATTAAAAGTAGCTCTCTCAACAATATTTTCTTCATTCATACAGATTCTAACTCGAAACTTTATACTTGAGTGGCCATATAATTTTTAGTCATTTTGTAAAGTTTTCTATGTTTGGAAAATTTTTTGTTGCATGATCTCTTTGTTTGATTAATTATGAAAACTCTCAAAGTATGTGATTCAGCGTTCACTAAAGACAAGTCCGAAGCCCCATCACTTGAAGGTTGAAGAATGTGGACCTCATTAACCAGATGGAATACCCGTCTTGATGTCTTGTTTCTCAATATAGTAAATACTGTACACACTACACAGTGTTTTAATTTGATTATCACAGAAAAGCAATGAAAGAATTTCCCATTTATTTTAAGCTTTTGTACCTTCGAATGGTACTATCACTGAGAAAAACATAATGTTTAAAGAAAGAATTAATTTGTCTCAAAGGACAAACGATTGCGTGTTGTGTCCAAGGAAAGGCGAGGGAACAAAAAAAATTGGTGTAGAAAATATTGAGATGATAATAAATAAAAAATTTGTTAATTTGACCTGGGAATCTTTTTTGTTTTTTGTTTGCCAAAATGAATCTTCTGCATATATACGATCCTTTCCATTTTTTCAAAATTTTTGTAAAAATAATTATTATATAATATTATATTTCTTACAATATATATATATATATATATAACGTAACATCTTGCTCTTACGGTCATCATCATTTGATATATTTATGATTTTATTTGTTAATATTTTTAAAATTTTAAAATAATTTTTTTAAGTTCATAATATATAAAAATAATGAATAGTTTGTAAGTATATATAATTTTTAAAATTAATATTTTTCATTCTAATATTAATTTTATATAAAATATATCTTGAATGAGGATAATTATATTTTTTGTTGATAAAATTTTTATCCATTTTTTAATATTTTTTAAAAATTGCGTATGATCAAACTTGGCTTGAATAGAACAAGCAAATTGACTTCTATACTACCAAAAAAAAATATTTATCTAAATACTACACTCTTTCAAATATTTCCCTACATACTATAAATTTATAACTCACTTCACATCCATTTTTTTAAATATTGCAGTACAAAGCTCGATCTTTGCTAGACCAAGTTATGTAGTTATATATTAAAAAAAAAAAAAGTCTGGATGTTGCTTAAAGCTCTGCACCCAATGATAAACATCAATATATTTTATCCGTAATGGGTTGCTTTTTGGCTTCCAACATATATTTTTTTCTTTCTTTCTTTCTTTTTTCTTTGCAAACGAGATCCCAACATGTAATTGAATATCTATATATAATATAAATAATATATTATGCATCAAAAAATAATATGTTATTTTATTAATTATGATTATAATAATTATATACTTCAAAAAGTTATAAAAATTATAAAACAACTATATAATCAATAACAACATAAAATTACATAAATTTACATCATGATATATAATTTTAGGGTTAAACTGTTAAAGTTCATTTCTCCCTTCAATATTTTTCTAGCAGCGTTTGAGTACCTTATGGGGTGAGACAATATATTCTTAAATACTCTATCTGTTCAAATATGTAAAGTATTTTTAAAAATTTTAATATTAAAAAAATGTAAAATGTTTTTAATTTTTAAGATGTAATCATTATTTTTTTATTAAAAGTACTCCCATTGAATAAATTATTTTATATTTATTTTAGAATGAAATACTTTATAGGGATAAATATAAAAAGAGAATATTAGTTTGAAGATAAATAATTATTTTATTAAGGGTAAAATTTAATTGAAAAAAATCAAACTCCCAATAAAATATATTTTTCAGCCTTTTTCTTTCGAAAGAATCATTTATTTTTGAGGATGTGAGGCATTTTATTGGGTGCCTCCCAACACTGCAACACATGCTTGAAAGATTTTTTTTCCCTATAACTTATTTGTTTGGTGGAACAGATGCACACATTTTTTTATGAAAGGTTTAAAATATATTTAAAAGATCTTAAATTTACCAGGTTGGATTAAAGCAACTTTTTTTTTTTGGGTGAAAAAATGATGATGGACTTCCAAAAATAAATGATTATTTTGGAAAAAAGGTAAAAAATATATTTTAATGAGAGTCTGAATTTTTTTTAATCGAATCTCATCTTTCAATAAAGTAATTACTTGTCTTCAAACTAACATTTTATTTTCCTACTTAATAAGATGTTTCACTCTAATATAAATATAAAATAATTTATTCAATAGGGGTACTTTTGGTAAAAAAAAATGACTACACTTTGAAAAACTAAAAATGCTGTACAAAACATTTTGGGAGAGTATTTATGAATGATATTGAATAAATTACTTAAAATAATATTATATATAATAAAAACTATATATAGCAGATAAAATCATAAATATTACATTTGATAAGTATGAAAAAGATAAAAAATATCAATAAAAAGTATTTTTAGAAAAAAAATATTAAAATGAATCAGAAAATACTCTCAAAATGACTATCATTACGACACACATCCCATGAAGCATAGCAAGGAAATGTCAATATTTTAAGAATAAGTTGTCGGTATTTAAAGAATAACTTGTCAAAATCTGAAATACAACTAATTGTTAATGGAGTTCTAATGTCACATAACTTAATACAATTTGAATTGTATTTAGTCAAATTAAAATATGAATTGCAACATGTTAAAATCTGGAATACAATTTATTGTTAGAGCCCTAAAGTTAAATAACAACTTGTTACATTTGAAATACAAATTACAGTAAATTAATACAATTGACGTGAAAAATATATTAA